CTTGTGATCTGATTCACGATGTATACCCGTCGACGGACGGTCACGGACAAAAATCTTTAAACTCCTTTCTTCGGATCAGATACGCTTAACTCGCTCAGATTCTCATCGTCCACCTCTAATGTTGTATTGCTCTATTTGTGCAATTCACGTGCGTTTCGCGTAAGGCACGGAGTAATAAGAAGGAGATCAAGCTCGAAGATGAAATATGGGCACAGTATACAGTAGCGCAACTCTTTGTCAGCACTTTTGATGTTGGTGAAGCCAAAATCGTAGCGCGCATGCGCAAGATGAGACATTACATACGGTAACGCCATCTAGACTTCTCTCTCAATTACTCTCTTAAGCGGGGAGCACAGACTCTTGCATAACGCATAACACGTAATGCATAAGAAAATGTACCAATCAAAGCCCTCCGTTTCCTTCCTTTTTATGAAATAAAGAATTCTGATTGATTGAATTTCTTATGCATTACATGTTATGCGTTATGCAAAAGTCTGTGCTCCCCGCTTTAAAGCGGGGAGCACAGACTCTTGCATAACGCATAATACATAAGGCATAAGAAATTCAACCAATCATAGTTCTTTATTTCATGGAAAGGAAGGAAACGAAGGATTTTGATTGGTTTATTTTCTTATGCATTATGTGTTATGCGTTCTGCAAGGCTATTGGCTTAGAGTTGAGGAGGAGGAGAGTTGCAGGGTGGAGAGTTAAAATCGTGCATATATTGTATACAAAATTAATTCGGTGACATTTGTTATTGTTTTTCCATCGAATATTAGTAGTATTTCTCATAATACTGAATGTGACATGAAAGTGCGAAGACCAAACAATGCAAACAATCTTCAAAATTTCGTGGTTTTTCGGATATGCACACACTTTTATCATTTCTCTCTGCACTAGTAAAAACTCACAAAACTAAAACAGAACTAATATAACCAAGTCCACCATGTACACGCACCGACAGGAATGTAAGGTATGATGAAACAGAGCCGCCATCTAGCGGAGCATTAGTAAATTAGAGTTCAGTGAGCAATTTGGCCGTGTTTTTCGAATATTTTTCCATGCCAGTTCGGCCTCCTTATCTCTATTCTTCATGATATCTCCACCAGTCTCCATTGTCATTGGCTACGAAAGAATATAGCGCGACCAATCGTTGCTGTTGTATATACTGCATATGTAGGCTGTGTTCCAAATTTACTGCCAGCACTGATAATGGCTGCATTCAGCGGACTCAACAGTTGAGTGAGCGTTCGCTGCTATTGACGTATTCTTCTAGATCTAAAATTATGATTGGACGATCTAAAAGAATACACCAATAACAGCGAGCGCTCACTCAACTGTTGAGTCCGCTGAATGCACCCATTGCTACAGTTTATGTCACGTGCACTATAGATTTTCAGTACTGGCAGTTAATTTTGGAACACAGCCATAATAAGTACGCTATTTTATTTCTAACTAGTGCTGTGTTCCAAAATTTACTGCCAGCACTGAAAATCTATAGTTTACGTTACGTACATACTATACATTTTCAACACTGACAATGAATTTTGGAACACAGTCTAGATGCTCTAACGTAAACTCGCAACGTCATATCATAATCATAACGTTTTTAAGTGCAATTTGAACTCAATTACCCAACCCACTTCACTCACGTTCCACTTATCGGTCTTATTTCTTGCTAATTATCTGTAATTCTTTCATCACTGTGATTCACATTAGAGTGAATCACATTGTCACTGTGATATCATTCATCACAGCATTTTAAACGTTTTAACCTCAACGTGCTCTCAACTCGCCTTATCTGGAATTCGATAATAAAAAATACATAACCTATAAAAATTAGTTTTCCTTTGTCATTTTTATTTTCTATTTCAGTTTATACACGTAAGTAATTGTACGTCATTATCATACTAAAAGCTTTTTAATTTTATATAATTTTTTTTATAATTAAGAACGAAGTTCGGACCAATATTTTTGAATTTTCGCGCCAATTTCCTTTTTTTTTTTTTTAATTAGCGTAGGGAATTGTAGGGATTTTTTATAACATTGGTAGGAGTAAATGATATTTACGTTTTAACCACACTGCTTCTAGGTTACCAACACTGTTGTGATCCCTCGGACAATGATGGCTGCTAGCACTTCACGTATAGAGGAGCTAATTAATTATTTTAAGTCACACAACAAAATTCGAGAACAACAGAGCCATTCGGCGAAGGTGCACAGCGTAGGGTGGAGTTGCGACGGCAAATACTTGGCTTCGGGCTCTTTCGACAAGTCTGTTTGCATATTCTCGCTATGCCCGGATCGTTTGGTTAGTAAACATAACCTGTAACGATTCCTTTCGCGCGGTGCGATTTACCTACCTATAAAATGAAAACTCCGCAGAATTTTTCATACACAGTATTTTATTTTAACCATTTTTCTTTCATTAATTATGTCTTTGTAAAATCGATAATTACGGTAGAGAACTGTATGTATGAATATTAATATACAACGGCCGATTATTAGGATGATTCAATATCAGACGATATTATAATAGCTCTTTTTTGGACGATTCCCTTTAATTTGTAAAAGAAAATGTAAATTTTGTTATTTAAGGAAGTCATATAAATATAATAAATTCAATAGTACTGCTTTTATTTTCTTTGGTGTAGTTATTCTTTAAAAAATTGAAATGGAAACAAGGATCAAGTGACACATTAGAATATCTTTGTGATTTTCTTTACAATTGTATCTGTTTGAAGTTAAATATCTTCTGAAAAATTGCATTTTAAATATTAAAAATTTTCGAATTAGAGAATAATTTATTGTTTGAAATACTATCCTTGAAAAGTCATTTAAAATTTTTAATTTTTAATATTAATTATTTATAATATTTATATTTTTAATATTAACATGATTCTAATCATGGATTTGATTATGAAGTTTTTAAAATAATTTTTTTTTTAATTTAGAAGCAGGAAACAACTTTTAGAGGACATGGCGGTAGCGTAGATCAGTTGTGTTGGCATGCTTTTAGTCCGGAATTATTATCTACTGCAAGTGGAGACAAGACAGTTCGCATCTGGGATACAAGAACGCAAAAGTGTACAGCAAATATTAGCACTAGAGGGGAAAATATTAATATATCATGGTCGCCAGATGGTAACACGATTGCTGTAGGGAACAAGGAAGACTTGGTCACATTCATCGACGCCCGGGTGATGAAAATACGTGCGGAGGAGCAGTTTAACTTCGAGGTAAACGAGATCTCGTGGAATAAGGATTCGGATACGTTTTATCTGACAAATGGCCAAGGTTGTGTGCATATACTTAGCTATCCAGAGCTAGAGTTGTTGCATGTGATCAAGGCGCATCCAGGTACTTGTATCTGCATTGAGTTTGACCCAACCGGCCGGTATTTCGCTACTGGATCCGCGGACGCGCTGGTCTCTTTGTGGGATGCCGATGAGTTGTGTTGCTTGAGGACATTCTCGCGACTAGAGTGGCCAGTTAGGACTATCTCCTTCTCATATGACGGACAACTTCTGGCAGCAGCTTCTGAGGACTTAGTCATAGACATCGGCGAAGTACAGACTGGTGAGAAGATTGCTGATGTTCCGGTAGAAGCAGCGACGTTCACTGTTGCATGGCATCCGAAACAATATCTCTTAGCTTATGCGTGTGACGATAAGGACTCTTACGATCGAAAACGTGATGCCGGTAGTTTAAAGGTATTCGGTTTTGCAAATGATTGAATTTCATTGTATCTTTTGTTTTGGATCGTGTTGTGCTCGAGAAATATTGTCATATTTCATAAAAGTATACAACAATATTTTATAAGTAAACTTAAGTGATATTTCACTAACATTATCCCGTAATGGAGATTACGTATGTGACATAAAAATTGAACTGTATTTAAAGCATTAAGAGCGATTATAAATGCAAACATAAAAATTTTTATGTAATTGTGAATATTAAAGATTGATGAATATTATAATTTGATAAGATATGATAATATAAATTTGATAAGATATATATGAAAAATGAGTGTTTGGAAAGAAATATTTTAATTTATGGAACATATTTATTAAAATTCTGAAAATATCAATATAAAAAAAATAACCACGTTTCAGCTGAACTTTGTACATTATCCTATCGATTATACTCGGAATCGATTTATTGATTAGAATTCTAGCGTATCAAGCATGAAACTTTTGTTGACCGTTCGGTCGGCATAGTTACCGCTTGGCTTAGCCATTCCAGCCATGTGAGTCACATTTTGTTTCATCGCATAGTCATCAGTAGGAACTGGGAACTTGCATTTCTTGCTTATCTCACTCTGCCTCCTCCGATGATCGTCTCGCTATGGCGAAGCAGAATGAAACAAATACTATCTGCGAATGTCGATATGCTCTTGAAGAAGATCTGCAAGAGACTCAAGACAGCTCCAATAATATCCCAAATATTCACGAGATCGATGAGGCAGAGAGCGAGACCGAAGAAATGGCTGCTTTAGACCAGCCAGATCCTTTTGCTTCGAATGAAGAAGGTGATGAAGTTGTGCAGAAGACTAAGGACACATCAGACAATGAATCCATGTATATAGGCGAATCTTTCTTCTCCGATGAGTCCTGCGACGAATCCGAAGTTACAAATGTCACATCAGGCTCGCTGAATACTTCTTCTCTAATCCATATCACTGATCTCCAACTCAGCCAGAGTTCGAAGGAACAGGACATTGGAGTTAGTGAATCAAGCTGGAAGGACAATTGCCAGGATGAGTCTTACTTGTCCAGTGACGAACTGTCTCGCGCCACCACAGCAGATAGGGATACATTTACCAAGTCGAGAAAGTGTAGACGGTGGAACATGAGCTTCACCGACGAGGAAATGCGTAAGATCGAGCGGGAGAACGAGCTGCTGCTGAGGAAGATTATGGCGCAACAGAAACCTCGGCACAAAATTCTTGGCGAGGGTACCGTTCAATCTAGGACTAGCAGTTCCGCGATAAATAGGAAGAAGTTGCAAAAGAAGATAGAAAATGATAACATGGTATGTAATTTCAATATCACAGATACAAAGTATAAAGTAGATGAATGGATGTGTTTCTGTATCTCTTCTTTGCTTTTGTAAGTAAATTGAATACAATAGTTGAGTTGTACATAACGCGAAAATTTCATTTGCAGCTACTCCTCAGAAGGATACAACAGGCGAAATCGTGCGTTTTCACGAATACATCGAAAATGGGTTGTAGATTGACCTTTTTGTAGAATTTTTACAATATTGAAAAGAATTTCGTTTCATCTTGTTAGGAAACCAAATGAGTCATATCAGCAGACCGAGATTTAATCAACTCCTACTGTAAGGAAAAAATATTGGGATATAAATCAAGAAGTTAAGCTTTATCATTTTTTAGTATGACTTCTAAATAGTCGCCGCGGCCCTATTAGGTTGTGCTGTCACAAGCTAGAAATGACACGTTGAAATTTTTTGCATGCCATTTATAAATAAAGAGTTTGAGTAAAAGAAAATAATGAGATCGCTTTAAAACATTTGTAAAAATAAGCCGAAGCTATCCTTGCTTCTCAATCAGTAAATAATAAATAGTTGTAAAAGAAAAAATACGCGTAAGCTTTTAAGCCTATTTTTGCTTCATATGTCTTTCACAAGTATTTTAAAGCGGTTTCATTTGTTTCATTCGAATTCTCTTTCTTTACAAATGATATATAAGAAACTAGTTGAGAGTTAAACATAATATTTATGTAAATGTCAGTTTTGAAACAACTTATGATGGATTTCGACTCTATAAAAAAAAATTCTCTGTAAAGAAAAGTTCGTACTTTCTCGAATACAAAACATTTTTTATGGCTTTTTTGTGACTTCTTTATTAAAACACAACGATTACCAGTCTTGAAGAATAGGTACACATTTCTTTAACTTCACATTTTGTGTATACGGCGCAATCTTGTAAACTCGTCTCTTGAAAATTGCTTGAAGCTATCTCTACAAGACTATAAAAAATCACAGTTCTCACTCATCTCAAATAACTTAATTATCACTCATGGTTAATATAAAAAATCGGGAACTCTCGGATATTGTGACGATTCTCTTTTTCTTTCTTTTTTTCCCTTGCACTATATCATAGACATAGTATGCATTACATACATATACGAGCAATATCGTAAGAGAAGAGAAAGGGTGTATTGTGTGTCAAGGAGCAAATTATAAATTTCTGTAGAAGTAATGTATAATGATATAGTTTCCTTTAAATTAATGTGTGCTGCGATTACAATATGAAACTATTTCTTTTTTAACTTTTTCTTCTCGATCTTGTAATTCCATATCTATATGTAATTCAGTATCTATTTCCATTTCAATGTAATTGATCGATCATGTGTTCACTCTTTTTATAACAAACCAAAACAACAAAACAAGACATTCGATTATCCTGCACGAAGTATCTTATCAGTAAATAATTTAAAATATTTCATCAGTTGTTTTAAATAATGAAATAGAAAATAAGTATTAATATCTAGATTTTGGTTTAAGAGACTGAAAATAATTTGTTTGAGAGACTATTCACCTGTGTTACTATTGTATAACATAATAGTAACAATTATATCACAAAGTACGCTCAGCGCAGTAGCAACAAAACATAACAATTTCTGATTCAAATATGTTATCGCGGTCGCGACAATTATTTCGCAGCCATTAAGACCGTCGTTATTATCTTTCATCAAAAAATTATGAAGCAAATATAAGATATATATACATATATATAGATATATATATACATATATATATCTCACAAGATAAAACCTTCAAAATTTCAAGTCATTAATTTTCGCGCCTCGTTTTCCACGATTCCGTCGATGATGGTGTCCATATTGTATTGAGCGAACGAAACGGATCAAACCCCGATCTTTCCTATAATGATAATCGAAAATAATTATAATTACGTGAAAATCAAGGTTTTTTTTTAGGGAGGTCCACATACATTTTCCATAATAGTAATCGTGAGAGGTATCGTAAGTCAGCCAATCAAAGCTGAAAGTTTTCGAAAATTCTTGACTGTGATTGGCTAATTCTTATGGTATGTCTTACGATTACGGTATGTTTTACGAATTTTGTGATGTCTTATGATTACTGTTATGGAAAGTGTGTGCGCGGTGTTACACTCATTAATCACGTACTTGTGTGTCCGTCTCAGATTGTAATGTTTGCGACATCATGGGAGGCGCAGCTGCACCCCAGGGTGCTGCAGCCCATACACCTCCTGTATTAATTCCCCATACACCACGTTCCTCTCCGACTGCTGCCCTAGTGTGTAATGGTTCCCAGTTCGTATCGACTGTCCAATTATCTGTAAGTATATAGATAGCGTTCGTGAATTATAATCTAAATTCCTATAAAGATAAGTATATTCAAAAATAAAAACATTAAGCTAAAGAATTAGACAAAGTATTATATAAGGAAAGTTTGCTATAGAGATTTAGAGTTTTAAGACTTATTATAATATTCATTATTAAATAATGTAATGTTAAAATCTAGTATCTTACTTTAACATTACAAAAAAAGATAACGAATTATTTATTTTATAAATAACAATAACACGTTACTTTTATAAAATGACGTTTCTTATCCCGCTTAATTTTTTTTTAAATAGGCTAATATACCTTTCAAGTCAGACAAAACAGGTTTCTCCGGAGTTTTTGGTGACTCCAATTGAAATCCGTTTGTATTCTCAGATAATAAATTTATCATAGGACTAGTGTCTTCCCATAATTGGCACCGCGTATCTTCTTCGGGGGTCTCCAATTCTACTAACGGTTCATCGGTTTCTGGAAGATCGTCATACGGCACCAGCTCGCATTCAAACTGCTGATAATTTGACAATTGAGAGTTTCATCACATGATATTCGATAAAGTTAATTCAAATTACAACTTACTGGATGTTCTGTAAAAGTATTGATGAAATAGCTATTCGAATGTTGCGATTTGGACTGCAAAATCGAAGGATCTGACTCGAGTGATTTATTGTTCACGGTTGTACTACAGAGAAGGACTGGATTTGACATCAAACTGTATTCTTTTAGTGTTTGCGACGACTCTTGCGCCAATTGAGATTTAGCACACTGAACGTCTTTAACATCAGTAAATACCGTGGATAGATTTGACGTGCTCGTTTGACTTTTGTGATTCATGTGATTTAAATTGGAAAATGATGAGACGATCTCTTGACTTCGCGCCACTACGTCGCTGAACTTGGCCCTGTTTTCGCCCCAACAGGAGGGCGGAGGCGGTAAGGGGGTGGGCATTGTTCCTATGATACGTGTTACATCCTCTTTTTGACTTACATTTCCATTTATAGGAGGAGCTGCAACGAATGAAAATAAATATTTTTATCTATAGATATATATATATATATATATACAGAACACGTATTATGGAACTGATCGGAATTATTCCGTTTGCCTAGAAAATACAACAATAATATAGAGAATAATTGAATAATTCCGATCCATTCCAGATAGTTCCATAGGATATACCTCTACTGTTTTAGCTAGTATTTTTATGTTCTACTATGATAGATGATATGAGTACATACATTTAACATTTTTTTTGTCAGCTACACATTGCACAGTCTTCTCCTTTCGTGGTGGATTCTTATTTTGACGTGATAATTTAAAGGATGATTCGACGGTACGCGAAGTATGAATATGATGCTTTGTGTTGGATCTAGTAGTGTTCGTCTTCCATCTATTTGGATTATTCTGCTTCTCCTTATCATACTCATCGTCATCACAGTCGCCTTCATAATTGTCCTTATAATCTATGCATGGCACAGGAGGAATAGATTGAGGTTTGCTTTTTTTAGATACCGGCTTTCTTTGCAGCTTCTCTTGTTTCCCGCACGGTTGATCAAAACTCTGAGAATAAATTATGAAAGAAAAATCTTTTTATAGATATCTAAAGAGAACTTATATCTCTTCACATAATCTAATAATTAATACCTTAATTTCGCGACAATTGTAAATAAAGTAGCAATAATTTTTTTGTAAACTTTTCAATATTTAATTTCGAAGTATTAGATTTTTATAATTATACTATTATCGACGTAAGATTTTTTTGAAATAAAAAGTACGTTTAAAAATAAAAAGTCATGATTAAGACTGTACTTAGACGGTCTTAAATATAAGATCCGATTATGAATACTGGCCTAGGACTTACTTTACACGATATCGTTTCATCGTGAGTTGAACTCTCCGTGGTCGTGGATGAGGTTTCTTCTTCCGAAAGATGAATTATCTTTTGAGTGCTCGCTGGTTCGAGCTTTTTTAACGAAACGTGATTATTTTGATTGTTACTGTTGCTTCCATTGCTATTTGTCTGTTTATTGCGCTTATTGTCAGACTTGTTAGCCCGATTATTATTAATTATCACCGCGTCCATTTGAATCTCATGATCATTAAATTTGGGCTCGTCCTTGATACTCGATTGCGTCGATTGCATTTTTCCTTTTCTATTTGACGTCGGACTCGATTTTGTAACCGTATTGACAGTATACTTTTTTTCTTGAATCAATTGAGTGTCCGTGAGTATATCATTTGTCATGCAATTGTCCGATTGAGCCTCTTGAACGTTATTTTGTTTCTTATTATTCTTTTTCTTTGACACAAACATATTTGTCGTATTCGCGGCGTTATCTACGTTAGACAATTCCTCGAATCGCTTAAAGGATAATAGATCCTTGGATTCTGTGTCCAATTTGAATTTACGTTCTTCTTCAGCGGACCAATCCGGGATCTTCAATCCTTTCTGCAAATCTTTATCCTTGTACTTTTTCACGTTCATTAACGACCAATCTGGGAATACCTCATCTCTTTTCGTCTTGCTTTTCTCGTCGCTTGTTACGGTTTTTTCGTTTTTGTTAGTGACACAACTGTTGCCATTACTACTTCCTTGTGTATTATTCGAGATATGGGATAGCAGCCTTAAATCCAGAGGCGGTTGCACCGAATTCTCCTTCGAGTAATTGGCCAGGCCTTCCCGTAGTATTCGGTCCGCTTCAAGGAATGACACCACGGCGACGCATAACATCAGTACCGACGAGAGGATAAGAGCAGCCTTCTGTACCGCACCTTCCCATGGCGGTCTAGCGAGCACAGACGCACACAAATTTAACGCGTGTGCCGGCAAAGTCGCCAATAGATTGAGTATCACCACGCCGTTCTCAACGTTCTCGCCGGCATCCGGTCCCATGCTCGTCATTACTAGCAGTTTTCGTTCCACGCGCGACAACGTGAAGTCCGGAGTGAACGCTATCTCGATTCTCTTAGTGGCATTCGGACTCAACTTGAAAGGTGTACAATCGAGTACCTTGAAACCATAGCCCTCACAATGCCAGTCATTGATGTAGAAACCATAAATTTCGATCGGCAGCTCTCCTGTATTTCTAGCCGTAAAAGATCGCTTTACGGTGAGAGTTGTCACAAGTTTATTGCGATCTCCTGGGAAAGGAAAACGTTATAAGAAAAATCTCTTCCTTTCGATTATGATCATTAAGATGAATTTAAAATCACCAAAAGATATACGTGGTGCAAGAAATGTTGATTTT